CACTACCTCTAATATATCTATATCCTGAACTTCAGTTGATACTGTTCCTTCATTATCTACAAAACAAATGGGACAAGTTTTTTGTTTATCTTTATTACTTTTTTCAAGACAGTCATGATGGAGTATATGATTACACATGAGTGTGATAAATGCTTTAGGTGGATTTAACAAAATTTCTTCATTACATTTATAACAATTCTCTAGTTCCAGTATTGTGATATTACTTGTAAAAGAGTTTGGATAACCTTTTAGGATATTTATTTCTAAGGCTTTTAATAATTCTGCTCGTTTGGGGTATTTTTTGATAAGTTCTTCTTCACTAAGTGGTTCGTTACTTATAGTATAGGTTGTGATGAGTTGGTTAATGATGAAAATTTTTCTTATCATTTTATACTTACCTGACTATATATTATTTTTTTACTACCTGAAATTATTTGATAGTTAAAAAATAAATAGATATAATATCTAAATCAATACATTTACTTGAACTTTAACCAGATAAGTCTTTAAAATTTATTATTTATTTATTCTGTTTTATAATATATTTTCATATTAATAAACCAATTTGTAGATTTTATGAAATCTCATTTCAGATTTGGCAATCTATTTATTCAGAATTATTTAGTATAAACTAAGGACTGATTGATCTATTGGCAATCATGAATAATTTACAAATTAGTAATTTAAAAATAGTAATAATAGTGATTATTTTTTTATAATAAATAGATAAACCATGAACTAATCTAAATACTCCTATATAAGTTATAGATATCCTCAATTTTAGAAGTATTCTTATTAATTGTCTTGGGTGTGGAAGCTAGAGCTTCAGGTTCAGGTTCTGGATCTGAGTCAAGGTCAGAATCAGAAGTATCACTCTCAGCATAATACATTCCAGAATTATAATGATTTATCTTATATCTTATTGCAACTCTGCTAAGGAATTTGAGATGTTGCAAAGTTGGATTTTAACTACTATGAATTTTAGAAACATGTTTAGCTTCAATTTTTCTTAATCTTTTGGCTGTAATAAAATATGATTTTAAAAATTTATTAAATACTCTTGTACTGTGTTTTCTATTAATACTATAGATAGGATTGTGTAATTTTCTAGTTGCTATTGCATCTTGGATCCAGGTAAGCAATTCTTTTGCATATTCTAAATTCTTTTCTATAGATAGAAATTGCTGAGGTTCAGGATTATTTTTTGCTTCTCTTTTATTTTTAATATATCTGATACAATACTAAGAATAACCAGACTTGTACTATTCAGGAGGATTCGATTCACTGGGTTCATAATGGATAATACAAAGAGTAGCAACTTCAGCAGGTCTCATACTCAACATCATAATTACATCTACAAGATCTTGCATAGTAGAGATTTTAGTAGTATTGATATTTTAAATTCTTCTAAGTTCTTTCTCTAAGAAAAAGTGTTTGAAAGTTTTAGGTAAATTGGGTAATTGTTGTTCAAGTTGTTTTTTTTGAATTTTATTAGAAGCTTAAGTAACTTTTAGTAATTTGATATATATATAAATTTGTTTAGAACCAATCTTAGCTTCTGCTAACTCTCTACAAAATTGTGAAACATGAAAACTGGTTGCCACAATTGTTTCATCTGTATTATTTTTTGGCACAGTTAAGTCTAAAGCATGTAACCAAATATTTCACACATCTTTAGTTTTTGCACAATATTAAGCTATTTCTTTAATAATAAGTCTTTTTTTTTTGTTGTTTGGAACCAGAGCTTTTATTTAATTTTTTTTGAATAAGCACTGATAGAAAGCCTCTTTCATATCTTTACGAGCCTTCCAATCTGGTAGCATAGTACTAAGCTCATCGGCATGAGCACATAATTGAAGTAGGTTTGATTTGGCTGATAGGTTATATTTATTAAGGACCTGATCCAAAATAGAGGTAAAGTTATTAGTTTTGAGTTTCTAGTTTTTTGGACAGTTGCCATGATAGATATATAAATAATCTATATCGATAAATAGAATGTGATTATAGATTAATCTATTTATTTTTTTCAATTCAAAATTAATTATTATGAGTCAGTATATATATCCAAAATTGAATAAATTGCTGTTTAAGTAATCTTATCAGAAAATAAACATGAACAAGACACAAGTTTGATTAGACACAAAGTGTCATTTCTCCTAAAATAAAGTCTTGGAATCTGTAGTTTTATACAATAAAATTACTAAAAATATAGAAGACATCAAAAAGGATATAATATTACTTAGGCACATAAGTGCCATTTTTTCAAAATAAAAGGTTCTGAAAAAAATAATCAATATATACATATGCCAGATATATAATTAGACTTCATGCATAGAATTGGGGAAGTCAGATATATAATTTTTAAATCTGGTAATTTGTGCACATAACTTATTCTGCTTTTTTCTGTCATAATTCTCTTTATTTTTATATTTTCTCATATGTTTATTGCATGCATTATATTTAGACCTATTTGGCTTACCACAATCTCTACAAGGAGTAGATATTGGAGAATTACGATGAATATAACATCTTTCTGATTTATTATGTTAACCACAGATTTCTTCAGTTCTATGAATATATGAGCAATGGTATAATATCATTATGATTATATATAATAATTACTTTAATCAAATATATAATTATTTTTGACGTTTGGCTAAAATTTCTAGAATAATTAATTTTATTTTAAAGATTTATCTACCAATTAATATAGTTTCAATAATATATACTTTTTGTCAAATCAAACAATGCACATATACAAACAACATATATACAAATTAATAAAATGAGTTTGTCTAATAAAGCAAAAAATGTCTTTATGAATCATTATAGCAACAGTACTTAAATCAAAAGTTAGCCAAATATAATGAAGCAAAAAGGCTTTTTATAGGTTTAACAGATCTTGATTACGAATCTGGCTATAAAGAACATACATTTTATAAATACTGGCTTGCATCCAATGGCTATACTGATAAAAATGATACTGCACTTTTAGATGCATATTGACCTGAGGAGATTCATTCTCAATATGTAATTCAGATGGCAGGAAAAGGTTATACAATGATCAATTATCCTAGCAAAGTTTATAGAATATCTGATACTTATAAATGTATTGATGAGAACTA